ATATATATATTGTTCAAAATCTTTGTTTCTCTGAAGACATCATCATCTCAAGTCGCCAATATCTCTCCGGTCTTCTCCGTGCAAGGTGAAGGTAAACAGCTTCTTAGCATTTTTTGCTGTTTTTCCTCCTTTTCGATATAATGTTTGAGACTCTGTTAATTTAGTTTACATGCTGAAAAATATGAGTTATACGGCTTAAAATTCAGAGTACAATGGTGATAACCATTTTTAAGTTTTACTAGTTTTGAGAAAAAGAAATCTTGTTTTGTGCTTTTTTGTCTTCCTTGAGTTGATGAATTGCTGAGCCTCGTTTATAGCAAGAGAAGCTTGTTTTGTGGTTTGTTATGCCTTCTTTTATTTTCTGTTAAACTTAATGCTATGTTTTTCTATCGAATTGTGTGCTTTGATGTTGAGAATGTGCTGAAAAGTTAGATTTATGGAGCCTAAATTAGTTGTGAACATGCAGAGTGTGGTTAAAGTTCAAGGTAAAAAAAAAAAAGAATGCTGTGTGGGTTCGGTTTCATTTTGTTGTGAACATGCTGAAGCTAGTTGAGTGTGGTAAGGTGCTGCATAATTTTCAGAGTTCTAAGTTTCAGTTTAGAAGCATGCTTTGAGTTGTAAGTTTTAAACAGTGTTGAAGAGCCATGTGTAGCATGTTTTTTTACAGTGGTTTAGCTTAACTTGTAGAGACTTTTTCATGGTGTTTTTCTATGTTGAAAATGTGTTCAGTTTCAGCCATCAAGGTGAAGGTTGCATGCTAGTATATTAAGTTTTAAAAGATAGACCCTTGTGTGTGTTTTTGGCCTTTTTCTTTTCTGCTTATCTGCCTTGTTTGTCTATTATTTTTAGTCTGCTATTATATGTCATTTGTGTGCTGAATGAGGTATTAAAACTCAGACATAAGTCTTATGTGCATTCTTGCTAAGAGTTATTAATAATTTTCAAAACAAGACCATGCGTAGTACCAAGCTTGGGCTGGTTTTGGTTTGAGGTATTTGAGTTGTTCTAAGCCATGTTTTGTGTATTTTCCATGTTGGCTTTATGCTCCATTTCAGTGGTCTGTTAACCTTTTTGAAAGCTCCAATAGTTTATTTTTGTAGCAAATTATTTTTATTTTACCGAGTACCAAATCAAAAGATTCGTTCCCCGGGTCGATCTCTCGAGGATGACGGTTCGGAATCTAGCGTTGGTATTTATCACAAACGAAAAGAAAATAAGTCCTAAACACTCTAATCACGATTAATTTGGTGAATTAACTAAAACAAGCTAGAACTATAAAAGCAATTTAAAGAAACAACAAATAAATCTCTAGAGAAAAGGAAGAAGTTCTAGGGGTCGGGAAATCTCATCAAGTTTCAAACTATGTTGAACGATTATTTGTTCGGTTATGAGATTTAACAAGCCTACACGTCTAGAGGGCTATGCTCAATAACTCTTCGTAACAAGAGCACATACATAAACGATAAACTCATTCAAACAAGCAACACATAGACAATACGTTTCCGAACAAGTCTACTCTATACGAGCCTAAATCGACCGACATCTCCCCTCTCAATTCTAAACGTCGATTAACTAGGTTAGAATAGTGATCAATCAAAATAACCCTATAATTCACACAACTCGCATAGATTGAACAAAACACATTCCACATAATTCAAACAAGAATCAAAATCCCTAACCCTAGGTGAATGGATTACCTCATGCTTAGATTCAATCTCATGTTAACTGGAATTGAGAACATTAAACCAATCAACAGTAATAAAATAGAATTGAAAAAACTTACAATCGGATTAAGAATTGAAAGATTTCAATCCAAATGTCTTTGTGTCCAACAATCCAAGCATGAGAAAATAAAAAAAAAAAAAACAGAGAAAATTATCCTAACAATATTGAGTTTTTTGTGAGAAAACTTGAAAGGAACGATATTGAGGGTTGTTCCTTAGGTCTGGAGGTTCGTTTTTATATATAGTGCACGAAAAACGAGCTAAAACGAGTAAAGACGAGCATAAAAACAGGGGTCGAAAGGGTCGCGACTCGCGAGTTGACTCGCGAGTCGCGAGTTGGATGGGTCGCTGGGCTGCTGAGGCTCTGTTGAAGTCGCGAGTCGCGACTTTTCTCTCGCGAGTCGCGACTAACACTCGCGACTCGCGACTTTGTGCTCGCGACTCACGAGATTCTGGGCTGCACTGCGCCATTTTGCGTTTTCGCCTCGTTTGAGCTCGTCCGAACTCGGAATTGAGTTCCCTTTTTTCCTATGCGTCGCTAACGAACCCCTCTATCCAGTTATGATCTCGAAACCAACTTTTTTTTAAGAGAAAATTCGCCCAAATCTTTCGACCTACACACCAAAAACGACAAAACACAAAAGAAAACCAGAAAAACAAACAAAAAACACCTAATGACTCAACATGAAGGAAAACACATAATAAAACACGAAACGGAATAAAAACTAAAGAAACAACCTAAAATGGGGGAAAAATAAAGATAAAATAAACACGAAAAATGCAACAAAAATGGAACAAACATTTATAAATTTTTTTTATAGCAAGAGAAGCTTGTTTTGTGCTTTGTTATTCCTTGTTTTGTTTTCTGTTAAACTTATTGCTATGTTTTTCTACCGAATTGTGTGGTTTGATGTTTAAAATGTGCTGAGTAGTTAGATTTATGTGGAACTTGAATATGTGTCTTTAGTTATCCAAAACTGAGTTGTCCAAAACTGAGTTGTCTAAAATTCTTGAAAAGACTATGGATTCTGCTGAAATAGCGTAGGAAATAGAAGTATCAAACAAGAATATTCAAATATATGTGTTTACATGTGTATAGTTGGATGAAGGAATTTATATTTTGTTTTTTGTTTTCTTGAGAATTACGAGTTCTTCTAAATTTTGGAGTAGAGTGGCAGATAGCTCCCCTTGGTATAGTTAGTTTTCAGTGTTTCATGTTTCATAAGCTGATTATGAATTGGTTTAAATGAATAGCAACCTATTATGTATTCAAATGAGAAAACCAAATATGAAGAACATTTTGAGGTATTGTGTTTTGGCACCTCCTGAGATCTGTTTGGCTTAGATTATCTAAATGGATCTGATAAAGCCTTTTCATGTAATAAAGATACTTTTCAAAATTAGAGATATAGCTGAAAACAAAGATTTTATCTTGAATATGTGTCTTAGATTTATGTGGCACTTGAATATGTGCCTTAGATTTATGTGGCGCTTGAATATGTGTCTTTAGTTGTCCAAAACTGAGTTGTCCAAAACTGATTTGTTATATGACTTTAGTTGTCCAAAACTGAGTTATCTAAAATTCTTGTGGGTATAAGATACATGAGTTGTCCAAAACAGAGTTGTCATATGCACAGAACATATTAAACTAGACTTTCATGTTGGGTAGTCATTTGTAGTATGTGTGAATATAATTCAACACTTCCTTTTTTTTCCAACTCAACTACTTACACAGAGTTGACACACATTGAAAAAAATATGAACCAAGCTTAACAAAAATACATGTATTTTGCATGCTCATGTTCGTGCATTTTTGTTGTTTAGTATTTTAACAATGTTCGTATAGGCCAACATTATATTCATTGAATGGGTGAAGTCCGTATGTTGTTCAATCTTTGTAGATGGATAACGTGCGAGACAAATTACTAATTCTCACTCTTTTGGAAGAGATTGTTCTTGGTGCTCGATTTTTTTTCATAGTAGCTAGTTACTACTACCACAAATTCATACTCCCTCGCCGCCGTCGACCTTCGTTGACTAGCGGACTCACATACCGAGTGAGGGATAGAGTGCCCCTTCAAGTGAGTCATATGCAAAGGCTAGTCGACGTCAGCGACACCACTTGCCTTGAGAACCTCCGTATGGACTTAAACTGTTTTGGTCGCCTTTGTTTCCTCCTTGAAAATTTAGGGGGTCTTGTTCAATCTAGAAATGTTTCACCGAGTGAACAAGTTGCTATGTTTCTTTCAATCCTCGCACATCACAAGAAAAACGTCACCTTGAAGTTTGATTTTACGAGATCAGGTAGAACTGTAAGCAAGTACTTTAACCGTGTACTTGATGCGTTAATCCGCCTTCACACCATCCTAGTCGCCACACCTAAGCCGGTTGAGGATGATTGTTCAGATGCAAGGTGGAAATGGTTCAAGGTAGCCTACGACACAAGACCCTTACCAACCCTTAGTCAATTTTTTCTTTTCTACTCCTTCCAAACTAATACTATTTTTTTCGTTAGGGGTGTCTAAGAGCACTAGATGGTACATAAAATTAAAATATGAGTCCAATCAAAAGATAGGGGAAGATATAGGAATCTAAAGGGTCAAGTATCAGTTAATGTACTTGGGGTGTGCGATAGAAATATGAACTTCGTCTACATGCTTTGTGGCTGGAAGGGGCCTGCTGCTGATAATCGAGTACTAAAAGGTAAAATCACTAGGGCAAATTCTCTCCGAGTCCCGAACGGTATTCCCTCTATTTTTTAGTATAAATAGTGTAAACAACACCCACCAGTAAAACACTAAATAAAACATAACACAATCGTTTATAATACAGGACACTATTATTTGGTGGATGGTGGTTACACTAATGGTCTTGGCTTTCTATCGCCATATAAGGGTGTGAGATATCACTTAGATGAATGGGGTACAGGGTCCCGTACTCCACAAAACTTTAGGGAACTCTACAACCTTCGGCACGCCAAAGCTAAAAACGCGATTGAACGTGCTATTGGCATTCTAAAAATGCATAACTCTTTTTACCCTATTAGGACCTAAAATTGCATTATCATGGCGTGCGTACTTATTCACAGTTTTATACGTACAATAATGCCCGAAGACCCCATCGAGAATGAGATTCTAGAATTCCCGATACCTTCCAACCCAACGTCTGACGACGCTACATAGATCAAGTTGATTGCAGCCACGAATGAACCCAAAAGCGCGATCTCATAACCCAACAAATGTTCACAGAATGGCAGGGTGGTGTTTCCCAATAGATAAACAAACTTATTTTTCTGTACTTTCAATAAGACTCTGTTAGTTACTAAGTAATGGTGACAAATGTTCTTAAATTATCTTTTGTTGTTTATTATATAATATTAATGTTGTTGAATATGTTGTTATGGTAATTATTGAAATTAAATATTGTTGTGTTTTGTGTATTTCCTATATATTTTTCTTGTGCAGTATATCATTTTGTTTGACGACATTTTTCATATACTTTTATTTGGAAATTCTCTATTACCCAAAATAAAAAAAATAAAAATAAAAAAAAAATAATATTGCTACAACATTATTGTACCTACAGCAAATTTGTCATGGAAACATCAATTACATCGGGTACCGGAAAAGAGGGCGGCGCCACCTCTAAACGCTGTGTGTGGACATCGGCAGAAGAGAATGACCTAATTAATGCTCTAAAGGATATTGTAGCCGAGGGTTGGAAAACGGAAAACGGCTTCAGAATGGGCTATGCATTTCAGTTGGAAAAAAAGATGAAGACATTTCTTCCAGGATGTGAAATTCGTGCTGACCCGCACATAACTTCCAAAATGCATGTTTGGAAGAAAACTTATGCGAGTTTGGCCAACATAAAATCAAATAAATCGGATTTGGGTTGGAATGATATTTCAAAAAGCTTCTCCTGTGATGATGAGAAGTACCAATCTTTGATGAAGGTTTGCTTAAAATTCCAACTCTTGAGTCGTATATATATTTCACATAATTTATATATTCTCATTACATTTTTTTTTGCGTCCCGACACATGACCAATAGGTTGATCCTAATGCGAAGGGACTGAGGAACAAGTCTTTCCCCCACTTCGATGATTGGGAGGTCATCTTCGGGAAAGACAGAGCCTCTGGTGGTGATACCCAGTCTTTCGCAGACGCGGTGCAGGATGTACAGCAGGACCCGCCGTACGAAGAATACGATGAGATCCCATCACAGACCACGCAGCCCACACATGGCCCGAGCAATGATGCCGGTCAGTCGTCCGGTACGGCGTCTGGAAGTAATTCCAAGAGAGGGGGAAAGATGAGAGCCACAAAAAGGAGGTCTACACACTTGATGGACGATCGTTTTCATGGAAACGTTCTCGCTGAACACGGATGGCCAGTTCGCTGAAATCGTTGCCAAAATGGGCAACGAGCAAGCGGCACAAGCTCAGGCGACGTAGGCTCAGATGACAGAAGTAATGGATGTGCTCCGGACTTTCAACTTTCTATCTGGTAAGGAGCGAATGGTGATATGCCGGCGTTTGTGCAACAATGAGAGGGATCTTGCTATGTTTTTGGGCATGGAGAAAGATGATAGATCACTCATGGTGAGGGTCATCCGCGATAGTCGGGGATAGTGTTGGTAATGGAAAATCGTTGTGTCTCGTTATGTTGTCCTTTTCTGACTTGTGAACGGTGTGAACTGTTATTGTTGGTTTTGTGGTTTTGTGGTTTTGTGGCTTTTGGGACATGTTTGAATTGTTGGCATTTCTGAATGGGTTTGTGGTTTTTGGGACATGTATGAACTGTTAGGACTTGTGAACAGTATGAACATTTATTGTGTTTATTAGAATGGTGACCATATACTCCATTGTAATGGTGTACTTGTTTTGCGTTGCACGTTGAATGAAATTTGTTATTGTTCTTCTTCAACTTATTTATTCTTCATGTTATATCGCTCGTTGCAGGTTCACTATGGCAACGTACAATGAAAAAAAGAGTACCCCAAGTTATATTCTACGTAGAAATGGACATGCCAGACTACCCACCATGGTAAGTTCAACTTCAGAACCTGAAAAAAACTAATGACAAGATGAGACGCGAAAGAAAAAACTTCAAAACCTAAAAAAATAAAGGGAAAAATAGAAAGAAAAGAGTAAACAGTGAATTGAGGTACTAAAATCAATCACCGAAAAAGTCTGCCTTTTTCTCAAAATCGGAAAGATGTTGAAGTGCTTCACAGAGCCCTTCATAATAAAAATTCCCCCTATAAACCACAAAAGTTCTCCGAACTTAGCCACCTTATTTTCAGAACAAAATGCATGCTGATAGAGTAAAGAGCACAAAGTCGTAAATAGAAAAAATCGAACTCCATAATATTGAATGATAGCATTAATAGTAAAGTCACAGACCCCCGGGGATAAATTCCCATCAGATAAAATTAGTCGCCCAAGCCAAACGATATTTCTATTCCCCTATCATTCATCTCGTTCCTATCATTTATAAACTAATGAATTATTCTCATATCTACTTATCCATCAACTTTTCCACTAATTACATGGAAACTAAATATATCCTCAGTCTTAAGGTTTAACTCATAATATATTTCTATGCACTATAATTGGCCATGGGGGTGTTTTTTGTGTTTGCGACTTGAATTGTGTACTACTTGAAAACATGAAATATGAACTTTCGTAGGGCATTTCCGTTGCCGAATGTTACTTTGGGAGACACGTGATGTCTTTTCCAGTTACTCTCATAACTGTTGAAGGTCGTCGCTACCCAATGGACATCTGCAGAATTCAAAGTCCAAATGTCTACGACCCAAGGGTTAGTTTGCATTTTGCAAATGGGTAGCAACGTTACGTTCAATCAGAGGATATACGTCAGCAGTACTACTTGTATTTTGAAGGAGATGAATTCAGAATGTTCAATGTGAAGGTCTACACGGCTAATGATATTGAGAGGCCTCCACAGAACCGGTTTAGCATCAAAATTAAAAAAAAAAAATAAAACTCACGTGGAGCGTGCTCTTTTGGTAAGTGATTGCTTTCATGTTTTACAATTATACTTTTCGTCAATATTGTTGTTGCATAATTAATAAAATGTTATCTTATTTAATATTATTTTTATTTTTTGTTGTTGTAAAGCCAATACCAATGCAATTTTGGAACGCACATATTGAAGGACAGGTTCCAGAGATAGACCGTGCAGTGCTTATGTTCAAGGGAGATACATATTCGATGCCTATAGACCGATCTCAGGGTAAGAGACAGTTGAAAGATGGCGATATGCGTCAATTCTTTGAAGAAAATGGCGTTGTGGAGGATTCGGAGTGGGTATTTACATTGATTCCGTTTAGGTATCCCCGGTTTAGAGTGGTAAAAATTTGTGTGTAGCATGTATCTGAACGACTAACATTTTAACACTTTTCGACAGTGATTATTGGTCTTTGGTGTGAAATTATGTAAGACTTGGGTGTTAGAAGAATTCTAGGTTTATTAAGACATTTTTTATGGTTTATTTGTTCTTTAACTGGTAACTTCTATAATATGGCTATAATGACATATTTTTCATTATTACATAACATGTATATTAATTAAACATGGTACGTAACCCATAAATGGTACATAAAACAAGA